TCTAACAAGAGAAAGTTTAATGTACACCACATTGTTAGACAAACTGTGTGCGAAGGCCGGAATAATATGGGCCGAGCTTGACCAGATCACGGTGGTTTTGGTTTAGGCAAGCACATGGCTTAATAGAGTTTAAAACTGTTACAATATTCAATCTAAAGAGGGAAGATTCCTATTGCTACATATAAATTATAAGGAGTACGGAAACCTAGATTGACCATATGCCGAGTTGTGCCCAATTAGTATGCACCATTGGGAATAGACGAGCGCTTAGATATCTATTGGTTACAACTGTCACAATGTCGTGAGAATAACGGGGCAAATAGGATTGTGGACCTAAGTTTTAGTAAGTAGGCCAAGCTTTATGGAAAATCCACCGAACCGGCAGAAGACTGTTGTTACAAGTCATTACACAGGTGTGACGGAAACTGATTCGGTGATGAATAAAACGATTAATAAAACTATATGAGGAGAATAGAGAACTCTAGCTACTACTGACAGGTATTCATAAGAATTGGTACCCTTCGTCAATCTCCAGGCTGATGACTTGTTCCAAGGCACAAAACTTGCTCTTCAGCCATGCATTTCCAGGTGTCACTTAGTTATAATAACGGTCCAGCCTCCTGACTAGTAGTGTCATCTTGTTCAGCTTCATCTATTCCTCCCCATGCAGCCTTGTCGTAAAGATTCTCAACATTACGCTTAGGTATTCACCTAAGCCTAAACAACGATCAATCCATAGCAGCAGGCGAAGCAAAATAGGTGGGATATTGGAGGTTCTACGCTATTTTTATTGGCTTGCAACTCGTGCGATAATAATTTTTTCATACACTATGTTATGTGCAACAGAATAGGTTTGTTCCGAAAACTTCCAATATAGCTTTTGTTGTTAATATCCAGAGCATGACTTGGACATTTCTATTTACGACAGATATAAGGTCTGATAGATATATTGACAAGGGCGGCAAACCACTACGCATGGCCAGTTTGATGTAGAGCCATCTATGCTTTGGTGAAGCAGCCAAGTCAGGACAAGGAATTCAAATTCAAAAGAATTTAGTTTTGACGCAGAGCAAGAAGCACCAACATCAATTAAACCAGACTAAAAAAGCTGTTCCGATACTTCTTCCCAAGAAAAATCGAAAAATGCTAGCAATAAAAATACTTGCAAAGCAATATTTATCAATAAAAAATTATTAGACCAATAGAGAAACCTGTAACATCTGCATTTCTGATATGTTATTTTGTAATTAATTCCGGTTATATCCATCTAATAAAATTATAACATCATTGTCAGGTTAATATGCCAATCTCGTACCTGATTGATATGGTGGCTTCGGCACAAACAATTTGATTCTAAGGGTTGTTTTTTAGCTAGAAAATAACGCATCGTCGACAGCGCACGTGGTCCCATGGTGCAGTCTCTCTTAAAGGTGTTATTTGGCTTCAGGATGTTCGAATTTGTCCGCCCTTTTTAGAGTTACTCCCATATATTATTATCTTATGATAGGTATTGGATTAATGTACGATAAAAGTGATAAAAGGCGAGAGAAGAAAGTATAGATGACGATATACAATTAAACCTTTTGAAAAACTCTTGTACGAGCTGTTCTTGTTGTATTTAATTAACCGTACATTAAAAAGTCTTGCTTCTATCAAGCCTACCGAGCAGTAGAGATTTACAAATGTTCGTGAATAACCGATATCACGTGGCTTGCTTAACTAATACCAACCAATCGGGTTGGTTGGTGCAGTGGTACACCATCCGGGCCGTCCTCCCAAGTAGATACTGGGTAGCTTGAACACCTACCCCATTCGAGACAGGAGAAAGCTGTTTCGAATCCAGTCAGACCCACACACCACTCTCTCTCGCGGTCATATTGTACTTGTGGGATGATGAAAGCACACTCGGATAGCCACAGGTTTTTCACGCTTTTCCCTGTGGTGGGTATGCACGGAAGAGGTTATACGCCGTAAGGGTTAACCTCGAGTGGTATCTGCAAATGAAATCTGGGTGTGAGTGTTCTAATCGTCAAATTGAGTCATCCTACTTAAAGTACATATCTTCCGATAAAGCCTGCATGGGCCTCAAGGCGCCAAATCAGGTAAATTGAATTATATATATATATATATATATTAAGGAAATAATGACCCCTCAGTCATTGAGGTTGTAGAGCGCATTGTTTGTTTGTTTGTTTATTATTTAACGTCTAACTAATGATTATAATACACTAGTCCCGGACTGGAAAAGGACGCCAGAGCTTACTGCTCTAGAACCGGGGGCACCCAGCTTCTCCAAACAAAAAAGAAGGGACCCGAGATGAAATACGGTGTCAGATGACTTATTACGTCACGCTGTCTACAGAAGTTTATGCCTCCTAGAGGGAATGAGAGCCAGTCATAGTGGGAAGAATATCCTCCCAATATGCTTAATTAAATTAGAGGAAAAGAAAGGGAAGAAAGGAAAATTTAGCACATGGGCATTCTTTTATTTTAATTTTCTTTGAACTGCTGTTAAGCAACATTTATCGATGTCACGGGAGGAATCCGGGGACAAATTTTAGTGAAGAACTGTGATTTTTCAAGCCATTGTGCAAGTTTTGAAGCTCCTGTGGGGGTCCCAAGAAAGAACTTCCATTTGTCTGAACAGCCCCTCGGTGGTTTGAGGGGGCTTGATGTGATTAGTCTACAGTTTAGGAAATGTGCAGGGGACTTGAGTTTGTTGCAGCTGCAGGTATTGTGGGCGGGGTTGTGGTTGAAGCGATTATGATAGGCTGCAAAATCTCCATGTCCGGAGCGAGCAGCGTATATATGGGCAGTATGATGTCGAGGTAGTGATAGCTCTTGTAGAGCGCATTGATTCAAGTAACTACCGAAGTGAAACTAAGTACAGAATTTGTAGTCACGTGTGTATCGACAACGTGGCCTACTCGATAGCCCCAATTATTCTAAATTCTAACAATATATATATAATACCAACCAATCGCAACAGTTTTTTAATAGAAACTCCACTGTTATTCGCTAAAGCTTCCGAACCGGGCCGAGAGGTTGGATAAATCCTGTAAACTCAGTTAGGGGAGGCCTAGAAACCGGGGCCACACGGAGGGCGTGGACCCATCTATTTCCCTTCCTTGTAGGAAAAGAGGCTAGCTTGATCCAATCCACAAACACCGTATCGGAAGCTGGGTATACTCCGAAGATTCATCAGATGATCTCTGCTCCATGAACAAAAAACGAAATTTGAATGGATGATAATTAGGGCTTCGACTCTACCATATGATTTTATCGTAGTTAGTTTCATGATGATGATGGTGCTAAGGAGGGCGTATTATGGTTATACGTTATGGGGTATAATTGTGATTCCTGAGGTGACGTGCTGGCTACAGCACGTGTGTGGGTTCTAAGAGATGCGATGAGTAACTCACGTAATAAATGGAGAAAAATGATATAAGAGTAAGTGGATATATGAATGCAGGTGTGTGTAATAGTCCTAATGACAGGTGTGTGTGTGTGAACAATGTATCCAACTAACTACGTACAAGGGAAGAATAATGTGTTCTGCGCTACGGTGGTCGAGCCAGTCTCTCAGTGCTCTTTCCTTACGGTGTTGAGTCCAACATTATCGTGCGTACCCTTGACTGTCCACAGTAAGACTAGTGTGTTTCCATATCATAACAGGGCGTGATGTGATTGTGGGCAGGTGTTCAGCCATAGTATTGAAGTTTCTTTATTTCGACATGTCGTTCCCGAGGATTCTGTTTCAATGGTTTGACACATTCCGGGTTAAGGGTGAGAGACTGCATTATGAGGGATTTAGGTCTGCTGTGATAGCTCGATTTTCCAGGCTTCAGTTTTTCCACAGCGCCGTTGTCACCAAACACAACGATGGCTTCGCAGCTTTGAGTCTAGTGCAGCGGCTATGTGACCAGACAGAGACTAGTGCCAGACATAAAGATATATTCTCGATTCCGCTAACACTCTCATTGCTGCGTAAGTGAAATTAAGCAGTCGTCGACTATACCTTTGATCTGCATCGACCATTAAGACATTGCTATGTCGCGGCCTAACATCCAGAGGGAATCGAGCGACGAAGGCCCGGAGCCAAGCCCTGCTGAGGTTGAGCCCAGCCTGCTTGAAGCCGCGCAGAAGATGGTCGGGAAAGTCAGAGTGCCCTATACCGTATCCCAATAGCATCGGAAGCTGAGCCGGAGACCTAGACAAAACAGCGCCGCACCCAGCAACGTGAAATTATTACGCGTGAATACGACGATCGCGTCAAGGCCCTGCAGAAAAAGGTTGATGATTACTTTGAAAGTCGTCAGCGCCGCGGGTAAGTTATCGACGAATTAGCAGGAAAGTGGACTTGGCCTGTTCTCTCTGGGCCCACAAACCTCCCACGGTCACGATGAGAGCTTGGCAAGAAACATTTGTAAAGCTATAGATGTATCTTACAACAGTAGCAGGGGTCACATTTCTGCAGCCATTACTGAGATTTTCGGGGTCTTGTTGACACGAGTATTGCGCTGATGGCTATCTAGAATCGAGGCTCAAGATGAGGTTTGGAACCGACTCGAAACGTTAAATCAAAAACGCAAAAGTATCGAGAAGCTTATCTTTTGTAGCACAAGAAGTCTTGAGTTAGCGACTCTGAAATTTAACAGTGAGGTTCTGAGCACATTGCAGACTTCTACGCAAGAAGCCGGACATGTTGGCGAACAGGGGGGTGCCGAGGGCGACGGACTAGGGGGCACGGTTTAGCGAGTACAGAATGCTGCTCGTGTTTCGAGGTACTCGGAACTACAAATTGTTGAACCACGTCTACGTACGCGAGAATATCATTGGGAGGCAGATCAGATTGAACCCGATAAGTTGATAGCGAAGGGTAACATTTTCTCTCTAGAATTCAATTCGCCAACTCATGATATTAAGAACTCTTGATCCGTAATAGAATACCTGCCCCGTAAACGCCCAACGTATTTTTGTATTCATTGCATATGTGAATGTTAGAAACGCCCTTCTGGTCTCCACCAGCCAGCAGTAATACCCAGATTTATGATCCACTCCCTTATACTATCAACGACGACTTTCACCATGCCATGCCTCTTGTCTGTCACCGTCGCACCGCCAGAAAAACCTGGGACTTCGCTGCCCATGGTTGGCAAAACATTATCGCTGGCCGAGAGCGATACAAAGAGCGCAAATGGCACTAGCCACACACAGATGCCGAAGAAGGAAGCAATCTCCGTAAAGGTTGGGCCAACCGGCACCTCGTAGCGGGAGAAGGGTATGGCGGCGAGGGAGATACTCGAGAAGTGGCTGAACCAGAGGTAGTGGTTCACGAGCACCATCACTATTGTTGGTCAAGACGGTATACCAGCAGTTCGGAGAGACGACATCGCTCACCGCTGGAGAGAAGAAACAAAGCATCACTGATTCGTACGAGGGGAAACCGCTGGAGATTTCCTAGGTAGAGCACATGCGTGAAGATACCTATCGCCGATAACATCAAGGGAAAGCCGTCGCAGAGATACAGGAGTGCTTGGAGGCCTATCACCATATAGATCATCCGCGTCAAGATTTTCTTGGCGACGACGGTATACTCCTCGACCAGTTCCGAGAGGTAATAGAGACCAGATGCTAATGGCTGATAAGTGGTGTGTTGCTTACTCGCTGCTAATTTGGAAAACTTACCGATGGAAAGTGTCATGAACCCAAAGCTGAGGGCAAGTCCCAGGTAACCAATTAATGGTAAGATCAACATCATTCGCAGCGCAACAGAGGATGTCGAGATCTTGAAGGGGAGCCGAATGCCATCTGATTCAAGTCCCCAAGCTACTCTAAGGCCGACAGCCTTCAGCCGTAGCCTCGGAACGCACATTTTCCTCGCTATGCCCACAAACAAACATAATTGCCTGTCTCCTTACATAATTTTTTCTATTACGCTCTAACGCCCGACATGTCTCGCCCAGAAGATATTCTGTAGGCCGTCAAGCTCTCCACTTCAAAGGCCTCTTTTCCTAACCCATTTTCAGTCCACCCGACCTACACTACAATGATGTTGAGGCTCGCAAATACACCACATCCTCCCGCATTCAGAATATCCAGGCCGCCATGACACACCGTGCCCTTGAAATCCTCGACCTTGACCGGGCCTCATTCATCCTCGACATAGGCTGTGGCTCTGGCCTCTCAGGCGAAATTCTAACTTCACTTCCCGAACCACACTTGTGGGTGGGAATGGATATATCTCCGTCTATGCTCGATACGGCCTTGCAGCGCGATGTGGAGGGCGATCTCATACTTGCCGACATTGGCCAAGGTATACCCTTCCGAGCTGGAACCTTCGATGCAGCCATCTCGATTTCTGCCATTCAATGGCTCTGCAATGCGGAGAGTAGTGATGTATCGAGTACCGGTCGTCTCGCTCGATTCTTCAATGGACTCTATGCAAGTTTAAAGAGGGGTGGTAAAGCTGTCTGTCAGTTCTATCCCAAGAATGATGAGCAAAGATCCATGATTAGTGGTGCCGCCATAAAAGCAGGCTTTCGCGCCGGTATACTGGAGGACGATCCCGGCACCAAAAATGCAAAACTATACCTTGTATTGACCGTTGGTACCAATGCTGAAGATGGGAAATCTGGCGATATCACGGAGGTCGTGAAAGGTATGAGTGGTGTGAACGTAGTGGATACAAGGAGAAAAATTCAAGGAAAGAATATACGAGATGCTTCCAAAGGCAGCAAGGCTTGGATCCTAGGCAAAAAAGAACAGATGGAACGGAAAGGAAAAGTCGTAAAGAACTCTTCGAAATATACTGGAAGAAAACGAAGAATTGTTTTTTAGTAAGCAGAATTTTGTTATAGGAACGGGCGTTGGAGTAGTCACAATTCACATACGCAAGTAACTGAAAGATGTACATCATCACATTAATTTATCTCTACATTCCTTGTTGCAGAAGCTCCGGACTAGCTCATTTACATCTTACCGGTCAGCTAGCGAGATTTAGGCAAAACAATTGGCCAACATATCGCATCACCGATTACAATCTACCCATAAGTCACATCAATTATGATGCGCGTGCTGAAGCTGGTACAATCATTGCATCTTTCTGAAAGTTTCCGAAGTCAATTTAAGCATGTAATTATCTGGCCTATTTGCTTTACATTTGCGGCTGGAGTTAAAGAAACTCTGTGGGTTTATCTAGATACGATGTCAAATACAGACTACTTACTGCAAAGAAAATTGTTAGGTACTTCTTCCGGTAGCTCTCTATATCATCCAGCAGCTTCCATTTTCTCCAGTATAGCTCTTGTAAATTGATTGGTGCTGTTAATTCCACCCATATCTTTGGTTCGTACTTTCCTGCGTCATAATTAACAATCAAGACTGGATATAATCCAGGATCGTACTTACCCGTCAGCTATAACATCATAGACTGCTTTAGAGATACGGTTTGCATGCCCATCAAGTCCAAGATGCCTTAAAAGCATAGATCCAGATAGAACCATTGCAGTGGGATTAGCTTGGTCCTTTCCTTTGATGTCTAATCCGACATGACGGCAGCCTGGCTCGAAAACTGCTACATCACGACCCATGTTGCAGCCAGGGACAACACCTGGTCCTCCAACAAGCGCAGCACCGACATTTGAGAGAATGCCCCCATATAGATTAGGCATAACCATCACATCGAATTGCTGCGGCCGTGACACGCACTGCATCGAAGCGTTGTCCACTATCATATCGTTAACCTCAAGGGTTGGGTACTCCTTGGCGACAGCATTAAATGTATTCCGGAATAGACCGTCAGCAAGCTTCATTATATTAGCCTTGTGTATACAGGTAACTTTCTTGCGATTATTAGCAAGGGCAAATGCGAAGGCAAATCTTGCGATCCGCTCAGATTTAGCGCGGGTTATAATTTTCAAAGACTCCACGACACCAGAAACTGACTGGTGCTCGAGCCCAGAGTATTCTCCCTCTGTATTTTCCCGAATTATGCACAGATCAACATTTTCATGGCGAGTCTTGTAGCCCGGAATATTTTTGATGAGCACGGTAGAAGCGTAGATGTCAAGTTCCTGTCGCATAGCAACGTTGAAAGACTGATGTCCTGAGCGTTTGATGGGTGTATGCAGTATACCTTTCAATCCAAGCTTGTTCCTCTTTAAGGAAGTGATTGATTCGCGGAATAAGTCTTCGGAAAGCTTTTCTCCGGTTTCTACACCAGTTACATCGATTTGTTCCCATTCTACTGGTACATTATCTGCCTTGAAAATTGTTTTGACTGAATCTACAATCTCTGCGCCAATTCCATCACCAGGAATTAGAGTAACAGTGTATTTCCCACCATACTTGGTAGGTCTGAAAATGTCTGTTTGCGCTGTGGCGAAGGTACGAAATGGCTACGTAAGTCTGGTTAGCTAGCTTCTAAATTTACGATCAGCGTAGTGATTTCTATACCTGCGTGGATGGTTCTAAAATCTGTCTTGAAGAGCGTAGAAGCTTCTATAGCCACGCTAAGGTTAGTTGAGTGATAGATCAAATGAAAAAAAAGGAATTATAACCGCATCTCACCTGGCTGGAACGTGCAATATTGCTTGTAAACATTTCGAAAAGTGGAATTAAGTTGATATCTAGTGCGAGATTGTGAGGCCGCAGACAGTCAAAATATAGCGCAACTGATGGAAATTTAAACTTGCGCCTTACCGTTTCAGTAGAGTCGCTCGGCCAAAAGTGTCGAGCAAGACCGGAATAAGCCAGCATGCGCATGGGGACCGTGGAAGTTGTTGCACGACACGACCATCATTTTCAGACATGAACATCACAAACCTCACACGTCTATGCCATTGAAATTTGAGAGCTATACATTCAGGCCTAATGTTTGCTATATTCTCTCAATTTAATTCTCACTGATGTTTACATTTACCATTTTCTAAGATGGATATCTTATTGCTGAGTCCTCGAGCCTTGATAACTCAAACGATGACCCCTTAGCCTTGATGCACGAGCCTCTAATCCTAAGTCACCAAACCAACCTCTCGGAGATCCATTGATCACTCGGTTGTTCTTCACCATATGGCTGTAGAATTCCTAAAATTTATAGGCTACCGAGGAATTGACCAGGTTGAACGCACGAAACTTCCTATCCTCTTGTGCTTTGATACACATGAGACAGATAGATACTAGGCGGCCGAATCCTTCAGATAGTTGTCATCTTTGAATCCTTTAGTGGCCAGAGGAACTTCATGGCTCCATACGGACATCCCATAGCATAGTGTCAAACCCTGCTGAAATCGAGTGGAGGATTTATCCCAATCGCATAATTAAATTCTAGAACATATTTCTTTCCGTGGTACAGCAGTAGGTGAGGTCAACTACCTGTGCCATAACAACCCAAACCCTCCACTAAGGATGTTCGGATCTGTCAAACTCAGCAAAACAAACTGTCGCGCATCATGCCACGTGCCACATGAGAATCTGATATAAATGTTAGCAGGATAAACTGTCAAGAATTCCGGACTACATAGAGACTCAGTAACGTCTTGCATGTCTATGTGCTATACCTTTTGCGCGGATCCTTGTATTTTTGTGTTTAGGTTTGCCTGGGGGCACATCTTCAAGTGCGAGGAGTAAAAGCAGTGGACAACTAAGCGACATTCCCTTTTGGGACTTGAATAGAATCAAGTTAAAAATCGACGTTCAGCTATTTCCTGGTCGCAAACATGCATGGGATTTTTCTCTACATCACATTTCTAAGACTTGAAATAACATTAGTAGATATTTCAAGGGATTACCGACATGCATCACAAACAAGGCCGCTTGCCAGCAGCGTTAGATGTTGGCGCAGCTCAGGGTTATGGGGTTCTATCATCTAGTACCAGCTAGTAGAAAAAGTCAACTGTACTAGGTTGTATTAAGAATCTTCAATAACTACTGGCTGCTCACACCCACTTCTTCAAATGCTTCTAACCCTTTCAGTACTATAATAGAGATTCTGCATGAGATTTACCCACAACTCTCATGACCTTGAAACAATGTTATTGAGGTCTGTTTGCGGATGGCGAGTCTTCCTGATATAGATATATGGGCGAGTCCCATTACCAGCTACAAAGATCAATCGTGGTATCCTCCTTGAACACATATCAAAGAACATACGAATTTAACCTTATTCGGCCAAAGAATATCAAAAATTAGTGTTCAGTGACTCAATAAGAATAACACCAGTGAATTTATTCACATATTCTAATAGATTATTGTTTATCAGTATTTATATCCTCAGTCAAACGCTTATCAAGCCAGCCAACTTGGGATACGGCAGGAAATTTACACATATACATTAGTATCTAGACGGGATGAATTTCACCAATACTTTTTATATTTTTCTTCTCATAACGACTACCATGTCAGCTTTCATCCCACTCTTAAATTCAAATCACTCTGGAATTTCTTCAAAGCAGTATTTTGCAAGAGATCCGAAAAAAATCGACCATTGCGGTCGTCCTGGCGAATCCTGTGGAGGTGGATAAGATGCCAGAGAACAAGTTATTAAGCTGATGATATGGAATAATTAAAGCGTTCTAGAGCGATAGGAGTCACGGTGTCGAAGCAAATGATGGAAAGTAAAATCTGGTCTAAATTTTTTCGGATACAATCGTCATCAGTCGAAAGGAGTAGAGAAATGTATGAAATTTATATTCCTCAATCAAGCTTCGACTTCTCGTTCTTCAATCACCTTAAGGAAGAAATATTATGTTTTCGGCTTACTAGTTAGTGTTTCCCTGGAAGGCTCTCTCAATACAAAATCTAATTCAATATCAGTTACAGAGCTATGTTACCACGATCTACTATCACGTAAAATTTTAAAAGCAGCTGCACGGGGACCGAACTTTCAGGTCAAGGGAATCTAATGTCATAAACTATTTCAGTAACTTGTGGTGACAGCTCGTCACCAAGATCATAAAATAACATAAGTCTCAATTCAGGGATTGGCAAGTTATGTGTAAAATTAGTATAAAAAAATATCATGGGTTTGGATGTAACTATGTCACTGTATATCTGTTTCAAATTTATTCTCATGAATTGAGTAGAAGATGGATTTCTCACTTAAAGTAAATTTTGCTCAAACGTTCACAATGCTCATAGATTTGGTAGGCTCGGGTCAGAAATTTTATTATCAGCTCGCAAGTTCTTTCTTGTAGGCTAGATTCAGAGTTTTAACCATGTTTAGATAATTTAGGTTTGAGCTGAATGGCCACACTCCAAAAATGAGGAATCATAGAAACTTCTGTCGTACTGATAGACTCACTTCAGACATATAAGACCTCATAAAAGTGGTTAGATACACACCTATAGACAGAAACGGAACCAGAGCGAGGAATTTGTTGTGAGAAGAATATTGAGATCAATAGGAAGTAAATAAAACAAAGAGCGCCCTGCAAGTAATAATAACCACTACTTCTCTAAGGATTTTGGAACCAAAAATAACTTCGCTTACATGCTTTTCTAGTGAATGGCCGTATTTCAAAGAAGAGTCTTCTGGATCGAGTATTAGTCCGAGCGTGCCCTGACACGTGCAAATCCGCGAGCAGCTAAGTCGCCGGCTTTGTTAGGAATGCCAGTTAGTGGTCAGCACTTCTACAAAATGTACCACAAATTTCACTGAAACCCCCTTGACTCTTAATCCGTGATCATATGGCGTTAGTAATTACTCCTTGTCTCCAGATTACAGATAGCTTTGCATCAGGTATTATAGTTCTGCTAAATTTACCACACTTATTTCATTATACAATCAAAGAAGCTTTTCACCATCACTTCTCTCTAACCGACAGTTTGGAGGCCATTTATGGATCTTAAGCAGCCGAGAAAACCCGCAATAACCGCCGGATGCAGGGCCATCCCCTTAGAGATATCAAGACTAAATCCCAAGTTAGAGCTACCCTTCTTAACAGTTCCGAGAGGCACATATCCGAGCGCAACATGCTCGTGTACAACTAGAGGATACTTTTCCCACATTCCTGGCCTGACCTTGAATCTTTATCGATTTTCCGCTATGAGAAATATCGAAGATCATGTTTAACTGTCCGAAAATATTAGCGGGGAGAGTGTTGTAGAAAATTTCGTCTTTGTCTCTTTAATGTCAACATGGAGCGTTCTTGACTTGGTACAAAAAGGAGCCCTGCGTAAAGATATTTGACTCAATGTTAGCTCTCATTACCCCACGGTGAGAGCAGGATGTTCTGAGAGAACACCGCTAACAAGTGTTCACTCATACGCGTGAGTGATGCATAAGATCAAGACTTCTAACGTGCCTCCAAATGGAAAGCCTCAGTATACAACAAAAATAATTGTAATTTGTAAACATGGATTGATAAAAGGGATCGCTGCTGGAAAAGACGGGTACTTCATCTTCCAATGGTGGCGGTTTAATCGCTCAGTAAGCTCTGCATATCTATGATAGCCAAGAAGAACCACAACCGAATCAAAGTCGAAAGCAACCTCAAGCATATCTAAAATCGATGACTTCTTGTCAGTGTCAGACCTATCAATCTCACGCGAGTTCTCAACCTCAATCTTACTACACCACCTAGCCTTAACTACCCATAAAGACGTTACTCCAATTGCAATTGGGAGTTTGCCTCATCAAAAATCGGCCATCTTCCACTACAAAGTTACGATGCTACCTATACCCACAAGGATGAGAATAAGTCGTAAGATATAAAGCGCCAGTCTTGGTTCACGCAGGACCATTGATCTAGTGCAGCTCTGCCTTTGGAGAAAAAACAGGCAGGTGTGGGGCAAAAAGAAAGATGGAATTGATTATCGATAAGTCTTTAGGGGCTAACTTTTGATAAGCTTTTCGATTTTGGAATGTTTGTGGACGCCAAAACAAATGTTTCGGCTAATTAGCCAAGAGAAATTCGGCTGTCGATGAGTCAACGGCATATTGAAGTTGGGCTTAGCTACAATATAGCAATCATACTCTATCAAGACTTTTCTAAAATTTCAGTACGACCTTCGGGAAATAGTTGGAGGAAGGGAGGCTAGAAAGGCTGTGTAGTGAATCTTCCGAGGAAGACAAAATTCTGTAGCGCCTAGCTAGCCGGCCTCTCCGACCACTTTAGAAGAGTCACTATGTCTTCGGATCTAGTCCACATGTTGGTATTAGAAGAGCCCCGAACCCAGTGGTTTTTGCGATTTTTACCGGCTGCCACACACCCGCAAATGGCCATCGTTTTGTTGGCTAGAGAGGGGAGATAATAAATAGCAAAGGGCTCCTCTAAGTGTATGATCGAATGAGGACTTGTGAGGAGCGGTACTGCTTGGGGGGAGCTGTGTGGGAGGCATAGGAGGGGATATAATACTGGCGTAGGTATCCTTGGCCTGTAGGCAGAGAGGACCTGCATATCCTACATAGTCATAGACTAAGTTAGGACAATAAAAAGAGAAAAAGAGATAGCTATTAAAATTCGACGATCAAACCCCAACCCAAGCGGCGTAAACTTGAGTAATCATGAGCTATCAGTGGCAAGAATGGTTTGGACAAGAAAATAGCGCCAATTTTTTAGGGGGTGATGTTTACGTGCTAAAGAGTTTCGTCGATTTAAGTTGGAAAAAATGGAATACTGGCCTCCTAGTAGAAAACCAAGAGTAACACACTGTGGATCCTGGACAGATCTTCTGGGCACGGGTTAGCCGGATGTAGGAAACACGGCACACACGTAATCGTTATTATCCTATGACCTCACGCACAGGAAATCGTACGGTCTAAGCAGCAGATCTACTAGCGTTGAGGGGTAAGGAGCAATCAATGTATATTGGCACATAGACATCTTACAATTGAAGGATATAGAATTCACGTATTAGTCTCAAGCGTCACACAAGGTCCGTTGTATTTATGAGCCACGAGACACCACGTGATGTCATTCCATTCTACACCCACATCCATCTTTAACTAAGTAAATAGCGCGCGCTCCAAAACATCAACACCCGAAAAGCAGTGAAAACCTCACACGAATTAAATATAAATCTCTAAAACTCATGGCAGATGCATACGACCCCTCGTCAGTAGGATGCTAGAACACATATATGAAATTAGACAAGATATCTGCAAGCAAATCATGCTCCAAGTCGTCGGGATATCACATATCTACTTGACCGGTAGAAGAATTTACTCGCATACATCGAATTGAAGATTCCTATAGCAACGAATTAGATACACACACTTTACCTAAGAATAAGATGGAGCGCATAAAGGATGAATTTATGGGATTTTCGAGTCAAAGAGAAGAGTAAAGGTAAGCGCGAGGGTAGTCACGTTTAGGTACAGGTCAATAGTCAAATTTCGCAATGACAAAGAAGTTGGCCCACGAGGTAATGATTCGAAATACTCTACCATGTTAAATCTTCACTTTCAACGAGATCGACTCAAACCTTGACCCATCAAGTTCACAAGTACGACCTAGTACATCCTTATTTCAATGACCGCACCTCTCATCATCTATTCTCCGGCCTCAGCTTGACGCCAAATACACGTCCAAGCCGATATTTATATCCGATAGAGGAAGCAAAGCGTAGCGCACAAATCTGGGAGGTAATTCTTTGGGACGGGCGTGAGAGGATCAGGACAAGTTTACAAGATGATGCAGAAGATGCAGACGATAGATAAAATCTCAACGGGCGTGAGATTTCAAATTTTGGCATGGAGTTTTACGAATTGGGCTTTGTGCGCGCCAAGACTTCGCTTGCGAGAGTGCAGCTGACACTAAAAACAAAAGTCAGCGAAGGAAGTTGCCGTGGTCCGGCTCCTAGTGGTGTTATCTGGTATAGTTTGAGTAGCCTGAGCACGTACTCCACTTAGAAGGGTGAAGCCTAAGACTACATTTCGCGAGGAGAAATGTCAGTGGATGATTCAGGGTCTTTGAGATGTTCGCCTGGGTGGCTTTTCAGGGACGAGGGCTGACTTGGGGTGAAAAAAAAGCCACCATAACTTCGCAGTGGTACTTGCAATATAAAATCAGAGGCATGAGTGCTCCTCTTTTAGTTTGAGTCAACTATTATTTACCTTACATCTGATATTTTGTCATAGCTTGATAGCAGCATGCGCAATTTAAATTTGTTGCAAAAAAAGGGTTGGGATAACCTGCTGGCCGCCCTCTTGGTGCGCTTAAGATCTTAACGGTATCTTCAGGTTTGTTCCTTCGTCGGTGGCGGGTTAGCCCTGCGTCCGGTTATCAATGCGGGTTTTATTGGCCGCTAAAAACCCGCAAATGATCTTCAAATTATTAGTTGGAGAAAGTTGATGGTAAAAGACTTCTTTCAGTGTGCCCTAAAATAATTGCGGTAAATTTGTAAAAGAAGGAAATATAGTTTGGAACGCATAGGTATCCGTGATGTAAAGGTGGAGGGGATCTAAATGTCTGAAATCATCTTTGACTGAGACAAGACACTTGATAAAACTGACCCATGTCATTTTTTTGTTTGGCATAATGGGTGGTAGTTTTAGTTCATCCCCCAAAAGATGGCTGCCATTACGGCGCGCTGCTACTGCACGGCTAGGCTTCGGGAATCAGCTAAACGAGGTTCTTGAGATTTACAATATCAACCACGCGGTACTCTTGTGATGTCAAATTAGCGTGTGCGAATACCCGAGGGCGTAGTCTCCATGTTTTTGAGTTACCTGAAAATAAAGCTATCCGCCTAAAAGTTGGTTTACTCTATATTGGCAGCTACGGATAAATAAGGTGCATTTAATAAAACACACACACAAGAGATATAAAAAGTATCAAATTATGCACATCAAATCTCCCGGTTTTCCGCTGCTGGTACTGCGAATATTTAGCTTTTCTGAAAACGCATTTCCTGCTACGGTTACTGCTTCTAGCTGGGTGGAACGAGTTTCAGATGCTTGATGGAGGTTGATCTGATCTAGCCGAAACCCTGAAATCTCGAAATCTTCAAAGTACGGGGGGATCAGCTGCCTTGCACACAAAATTAAAGAAAAAGTCTTCTCCTTGATCGAGCTGTGTATGATTGATGATGTAGAAGCTAGGACGGTCCAGTTTGAGGCTAGACTAGGCGCAAAATTGCAGATATGGGATGATTTGTTTGTTCTTAGGTTAAAAATCGCAACATGACGGCACGGGACGTGTATGTGGAAATGCTCGGTTAACTAGCACCCCTGTAGCACCTTCGCCCAATACAAGCTCATATCTTAATCGTGAACAATTGCTGAATAAGAGGGTTAGGGCCCAACAATCCAAATCGTCTACGGTCAAATCCAGTTCTTCAGAATAAACCGTACGAAACATGTCTCTCGAATGACATGAGTGCCTACCGGGCCCATTTTTTATCCTCTACAATACGCTTAACCGCTGGAATAGCAAACGCGGTGTGCACGTTGATAATTCTGTGAAGGTAGAAGACAAATATTTCCCACAAATTGAACTAATAATTAAGATAGCCATGTCTTGTATCGCCTGAATGAAATTCTTTTCCGCTCTTCCTGGAAAGGAGCTTCAGTGAAGAGTAGTGGCATTTAGACTGGTAGCATGCGAGGAAGCTACTTTTCGGCACAATTCATAATGTAGAAATTCGACTCAGTAGAAATTTATAGCTCCATCTTGTCCCCGTCCGCGGATTTAGTTTCATCCTCATCGTCGTCACCCTCTAATGCCCTCTTAGCCAATCTCTCTGCTTCTACTAAAAGATGTTTAGGTACTGGCTCATGTACTCCTTTTGTTGGTCCCTCATTACCACTAATCCACGTCATCTCAAGCTCAAAATCCTTGTCTTTATTGTCTGCATGAGCAGTGTATATTATCCTTGCAGCTTCGTTAATACCATCGAGTAGACTTAGTTTGCCAGCTGCTAGGTCCAGCTTCTCTAACTCAGACTTAGCTGTTTGACGACCCTTACCGGTAGCTGCTCCGTAGTACCCCCAGTACATTCCACTTGGTTCAATCATGTAAAGTTTTGGCCCACCATACTTGACGCCTTCGACCTTACCCCCTGGGCCACTAGAAGGTCCGCTGCCTACCTCGCCATCGATTGGTATCTCCAGCTCTGAATCCCATCCAGCAACAATTGCAGTGATGCCGAATGGTCTCACCGAAGAATACAATGTATATGTTTGAAGGTATTGGCCCATTCGACTAGCTAGGTCAGCTGTGGTAATCGGCGATTTGTAGACTTTCCGCCAGTGATATGCTTCATCTCGAGCTCTTGATTCGAAATGTCGTCCATCTGGTAAAAGTCCCGATGAGACCTATTTCTTCGTCAGAATATGACACTCGCTGTGAGAATCTTGTGCTATCCAATACCACACCCATATGCTTATCAACCGTAGCAATTCGTCTATTTGCGCCCATTTTCAAAAGCTTACTCGTGATTATCTTTTCGACGGCCAGGATAACCCCATCTTTGCATCTAATTCCGATCGATGTACCTCCATTTTCTACGGCTTTTGCTGCGTATTCTACCTGGAAATTCCGGCCATCAGGGGAGAAGACTGAGTTGGTAAGATCGTATCCCGTCCCGATGGAGGTCTTCAATAATTAGTTATGCTGAACATCGGAGTTCAGGCGAGCACGGCTTACCATGCTTGCAGGTTTCCAAATTTAGATAGGCTGAGACTCAAGCAGCGATGTTTAATTTTTGGTAGAGATATGATACTGAGAATTGTTGTTCCGTAAGACCCTGTATAGCTCGGTAAGGCAGGTAAGCAAACTATCATGAACTATAGTCATGTGATTTGAACCGAGTCACGCTTTACGTTTATTGTAGGTATCAAAGACTGGACAATTCCGATACCGTTTGAATCATGGCGCTAGGTACTTCAACCGCCTCGCTAGACTAAATGGTATCCACTTTGACCTATATGACCCCACCTCAACCCACGCAACAATCAGCCGCGAAATCCAATCAACATTACCACAGGATTTTTCTTGAAGTTAGATGTTATTCTCGATCTAACCTAAGTTTCCAGCTTTTAATTTTCCCACTGCTTTTACCTGCTGCAGTGCAGCTTTATTTCACCCCTACGGTCTGTTAATTCCCCGATACAACAAATCCTGATCTTGGGCCCCGTCTTGCTTCCCCGCGGTACTTTTCAGTACCTTCAAGTACATAGTTTAGAAAAAGAAGTAAAAGCAAATAAACTCATTTGCCTTCAACTTAAACCAAGTATATCGCCCATACTAGTATCTATAGCTCATTGAATTTAAGCTAGGCATCGTCACAGACCATCATACCTAAGTAACTCTGGCTTTGTGTAGAGAAACTCTCGAAAACCTTCAGAGGATCTCCTGCAAGGTAAGATTCATGATCTTCAATATTTTGGGTTATTAACGTTGCTTCAGTTTTGGACGCCAAGCACAATGACGTCCTCGGTTATGACGACTCAAGATGAGCTCGTTGCTCTCTTCCAACAACATCTCTCTTTACATCATAATTCCATAAATGTTCATCCGAAGGTAGAAGAAAAATCAGAGGAGCCCATCATATACTCCATCTCCCAACACTATCATCACTCTGCGCACCTAGCTCCTGAGCCATCTAATGAGCCTCCACTAACGGAGAAATCCTCGACTGAAATGATTCTTCTGAAAAAAGGTGTTGATACCCGTTCACTTTATCCTTCGCAACTTGAACTCTTTGAAACAGCTACAATTGCTCAGCAAAAGCGTCTAATCGAACTCTGGCAAATATGTCGGCCAGACCTTCAGAGTTTAACGCTTGAACAAAATAGATGGGCAGAAAAAGTTATCCAAGAAGAACATAAGTCTAATCTGCTGTACGAAAGTCACATGATTGAAAAATTTACTCACGACGATCATGATCATTGTATGGATAGTGATATGAGTGATTGTAGCACAAACTCACCCGTTATTCCCACATACTTTCAGCAAAAAAACTGGGATTCGAGTCATACGGCTGAGCCATATATCACATCTGGATATGGTATTGATTCTCAAGTCGATTCTACGAATAATGTAGCCTCTAGAGATGATACTTCAAAGTTTGGTACAATTTTAGATGCCTCTCAATATACTCATGCAACAGATCCTGTATACAACAAAGCGGGTAGTTTCTTGAGAGAAAATATCTCGACTATATATCAACGAGAGCAAGAGCAACGGAGTCAATACGACGCATTTCAAAAATATAACAACTACAATTTAATAACAAGTATGGGTGAAGATGAGGAAATGCTTTAAGTAAACAATACCCTATATAATCTACTGAGACTCTAGCCGCTTGTTGGGGAACTTGTCAACTGACAAGTATGAGTGAGAATCGAAGGATTATGAGCACCGAGACAAATAGGACACGTTCAATAGGTTAGGATTGAATGGAATGAACAAGAGATATGGGGGTTCGGTATCGGGAGAGGTACTTGGCCGGTTGAGGTCTTGTTAGACATTTATTTTTGACTCTGTCTCCCCTTTCATATCACGATGACTAGGTGTTGGGAGTCCGCCATGCGCTGTCAAGTGTTCTTCGTGGATGATGTGAGGTACGTACCTGTCCCATTTCTTTATGTTGTGACATCTTGATCGCTACTCCTACCAGGCCACGTCATTCACAGCCCCCCCTGGACCTACAAAAAATGCTAAAACTTCCTGGGAGTGATTCCCATGAGTGATATTCTTTCTCTTCCAAATTTTTGAGCCGTATAATTATATAAGTAGAAAGTAATCAAGTGAAGGGGTCCACCCTATACGGTCTTTCATTACCTTGCGACCCTGAGGTTTATTGGGTCCAAACGGTGCTTATGGAATCTCGCTGGAAAGATTAGGAGAATTCCAACCTTATTTTAATTCCAATGCCGAGGGCTATTTCTATGTTTTTAACTTAGTGATACGTTTGCAACTTAAATGGAGATAAATTTAAATTTATTGTATTCCACTATAGGAACAAAGAGTCTAACTACTAAAATATGAATGAAACTACCGAAACTTCAAAACCATGCACTAGTATACAGAGAAAGATGCGATGTGCACTTTTACACTCTTTTGAACCTATCAATGCATTATTTTTGCCAGAAAGCTGTGCGGCCTTCCACGCTGCCATTACCATCAATTTGATAACATGAATCTTTTTTTCTCACCTTCTTTACCCATCTTCAGTTTATTCGCCTTAAGTGCTTTAACATGGCGGGCGTGGGTGCTGGTGTTGGGAAATCCAGCGATTTCGACGCATCGCTAAAAGCGACGATGGCCGCCACAAACGAAAGCAGCAGAGCACGGACAGCTCCAAAGGATAAGAAACTAGAAACTTTAGGGAAACTACTGAAAAAGGTCAGACTAATCGTGATGAGCGAGATGAAGGAGGAATTACCATCCAAGGAGGACGTCAACGGAGCCGTGAGGGCTTTTAACTTTCACAAGAAAGCCTGGACAGCAATGTCCCAGATCCCATCTCCAATCGAGGAGAGGATAATGGCGCTCGAGGAGGTTATAAAGAAGAGCTTCGCGGATCTCGTTCAAAATTCTGCTGCAAAACTCGCATCGGGGATGCTGACAACAAGGACCTACGCGTCAGTCTTAGCTCCAAAAATGACCAAAACAGCAGTACGTATTAGAATCGAAGGAGCAGCCAAATTTCAGCCTGAAGAGCTGCCTTCAAAGGCACAAGAGGACATTCAAGATGCATATGCAATTCCACAGAGGCGTAGCAACGACCCGAATATGTTCGTCCAGTTGGCGTTTCAGAGAGACGCGGCGCTTAATATGCGACAACCACGCTATCATCAGGGGAACTGAGACGGTAAATGGGGCCTGGATTCCCGGCCCAGCAATGAATCGCATAGAGTGGTTACATGACGGAAAGGAACACCAATCGGTGAAAGAAAAACGGCCGTACTAGTGAATCAATTATAATCAGCCTCCCATCTGAGACAATGCAAACAACAGCGGCTCGACATGGCCTCGTACTTAATGCCATGCTGTTCACTGCTCAAGTGTGGTCACCACGAGCCCAGCCAAAGCAGTGTTTCAACTGCAGCCAGTGGGTACATACGCAGGCGTCGTGTGGAAAGACAGCTAGGAGTGGTGAATGCGCTAGTGCTCACCAAACTCGGGACTGTCCGAGAGAAATAGTCTCTTGCGCGAATTGCGGCAGGGAAAACCGATCATAGCAGAATAGAATAGAATTAAATTTAAGTCCCTACTGAGTCTAAGACTATGAAGGACTATCATAGCAGAAAGTAGCCTGTCAGACTTACCAATCTACAAGGGAATTTTGGAAAAGGCTCGGATGGAGCTTCTATCGAGAAAGGAGGGAGCATGTGTTACGGTTTGGCCATTGTTTAAGCTTAGGTGAATACCTAAGCGTATTGTTGAGAATGTTTACGACAAGGCTGGATGGGGAAGGATAGATGAAGCTGAATAAGACGGCACTACTAGTCAGGAGGTCGAAGCGTTATTATACATAAGTAACACCTGGAAACGCATGGCTGGGTAGCAAGTATTGTGCCTAAGGATAAGTCATCCGTCTGGAGATTGACATAGGGGAACAATTCTTATAAATACCTGTTAGTCGTAGCTAGAGTTCTCTTTTCTCCTCGTATAGTTTAATAAATCGATTTATTCATCACCAACTCAGTTTTAGTCACAGTATGGAATTAGAATAAATAGTTCGGAAGATAAATGATCAGGGAACTATCTTGGTTACCAGGGAGAAGGCTGAAGGACTCATATAAGGGCTAGGACGACCACGCAAGGTAGTCGAAGGCCTCAACGGCACCAACTACCCCCATAACAGTCGCAACACCACCAGGGCCGACTCTTCGGACACTTCAAGGTCTATCGCAGAGTGAGGGGTATCTTCGTTGTTCAATTGCTCATAGCATTAGTCTGATCGAAGGGGGAATTGATTAAATTCGGGGAAAATTTTTGAAATAATGGTCAAAAGAAACGTCTTTAGCATTAAGCTAGGTCGGTTCAGAGTGGCAGGACAGTAGGTTTTGATTTTTTGAAAGCTTTTCCCCCGATAAAAACGGCTGAACGTCTTCATGGTTCTCTATACAGATATCGCATAGGACGTTGAGCTGGAGAAACGAATGAATGAATCTATCAATATATTTTCAGCAAATAAGTCAAGAAAGATTATTTTCATGCGTAGCAATAAAATGGATCCTTAGACTTCCCACACCCTTACTATGGCTTTCATTCGCAGGTAGCACGTTGAGATTTATATTTCCTGACAAAGCAGTCGACCCTCGTCTATGGGGAATTGTTATATTAACTAGGCTATATAGGAGCAGGACGATGGATACTCTTGGGGAAGTTATGCTCACAGCAGGTCTCTATAGTCGCTGTCGCGTGTGTTCTCGTGATATGTAAGACTTGACTCTGTATTCTCGTATAAAGGAAACTTCGTTACAATGAATAGACGGAGGTTGAGACCTCCTTATATCTTGCTCCAGACTTACTGTGTTGTTCACAGCCTAGTGCTAGAACATTCCCTTGTGATATCATTTCTCTCCTACGAGAAATGACCAGCTCGTTCTCCTTCAGTCTATCAGTCTCTCGCTGATTCCGTTATCTCTATTTTATCGAGTTCTAGTTTGGTCCATAATACCCACACGTGCATTACACACTAAACACCCCACGGTTTAGTTCCCCGTTCACGTGCATATGCTATGACGCGACCTAAAGCATGTATCATGGTAAGTTACATGGATAACACAACAGGAATTACCGAGAGAAGGATTGAAAGATTATGTTCATGAAGGTGTCCATTTGTCATTCATCACAATCACTGCAAAAAAAATAAGTGATTACTTAATTCAAAGCAGTCATGTCCAACCCGAAGAGGGTAATTATTTCGAGTTATTTAAGAACTTAAACACATGGTCATCATGATGTACAACAGCGCCATCTTTCCGCAGTTATGTCTCCAGCGTCGTCCCCGTTGTCGTAAACTTGCACATCGCTTCCCATAACTAGATTTATAGTTCCGCCAAGACTATATTCGTCCTCAGCCGGCAAAGTCGAATTCTCCAATTCGATTAGTGCCATTGTAATCGCCCAGTATGTTCTGTATATCTGGTATAGTCAAGAAGAATCGCATCCGAATCAAAGTCGAAAGCAAACACACGCATATCTCCATTTGATGACTTGTCGATAATGCCTCTCTTATCATTCTCATCTGAGTCCTCAACCGGAGGGCAAGACTGAGCACCTGTACGCGGTGTCCTCTACGAACCTGGGAGTGAAATATTCTCCCAGGGCCAAGTTCAGTCAAATTTCGCAATATCGAAGAAGTTGGCCCACAAGGCAATGATTCAATTTACTCCTCCACGTCGTTTTTTTCGCTCCCAACGAGTTGGACTCCTACCTAAGTCTCATCAAACCTACAAGTACGACCAAGTACATCCTCATCCCCATGACCACACCACTCCTCGACCTTCTCTGGTCTCAGCCGGTCACCAAATACACGCCCACGCCGATATATACACCCGACGGAGGAAGCAAAGCGTGGAGCACAAATCTGAGAGAAAGCTCTTTGGGATGGACGTGAGAGGGATCAGGACAAGTTTACAAGATGATGCAGAAGAGGGATACGTTTTCGACGGGCGTGAAATTTCGAATCTTGGCATGGAGTTTTACGGATTGAGCTTTGTGCGCGCCAAGGCTTCACTTGCGAGAGTGCAGCTCACACTATAAAAACAAGCAGACGATGGAAGGTGTTGTGGTTCGCCTCCTGGTGGTGTTCCCTGGTATGGTTTAAGTAGCCTGGGCACCTACTCCACTTGGGAAGGAGACATCTCAGATTACATTTCGCGCGGAGAAAATTTGATGGATGAGGGAGGCGTGTCTGGATAACTCAGGGTTTTTGAGACGTTCTCTTGGATGGGTATTCACGGATGAGGGTTGACTTGGGGTGAAGAAAAAGCCGCCATAACTTCGCAGTGGTACTTGATGAAATCCGAGGCATGAGTGCTCTTCCTTTACGTTGAGTCATCTATTCTGTACTTTTCTTTGATATTCTGTCATAGCTAGAAAGCTGCATACGCAATTAAAATCTGATGCAAAAAAAAAGAGTCCTCAACCTCTTTCTAACCACTCATCATCTCGCCTCAAAGACCGATAAAGAAGTTGCTCCAATCACAAACAGGAGCTTGCCCCATTAACCTCCAGCCATCTCTCACTACATATTTACGACGCTATTTATACCCGCAAGGGGGAAATCAAGTCGGAAATACATAGCC